GTGTATTTTTTGTTTAACATTGATCTTTACTCATTTCACATTTGTGTATTAAAATTATTACCTTATTAAATACGTATATAATATTATAAATAAATATGCCACGAAAAATTCTAAGTGGTGCTGCCAAAAGGAAAAGAAAACAAGAAAAGGAAAGTTATATTTTAAATACGAATAAAAAAATCAACAGTTTCTTCGGATGCAGTCAGCTTAATAACGATATTGAACCTTTAGCATCTACTTCATGTAAGTASCTCATTTAYTAAGTTATTTATTAATTTAATTTCTAAGTTTTAATTGAATGTATCGATGTCAATTTTTGTTTATTTACATACTATTCATTAAACATGTGACAAGATGTTTTGAGTAAATTTGTAGCATATACCCAAGCTATTTTTCTATAATATATCTGTTTACTTCAGCCTTAATTTGAATAAATAATTACCAAATAATTGTTTATGCATTTGTTTAAAACAAGTTATTAAGAAAATTATGAAAAATATAAATACTTAAAAACAAATACTATCAAACCATTCAAACCTAAATGTAAAATTACTTTAAACAATAAAACAGTGTTTTTAATAGATAATTCAAATAATTTATTAATCAAAAAGGCATTACATTTTTTTTAGCTGAAACCATATTAATGAACTCTAGAGGTATTGTTTAAATTGAAGTTGAAAATGTAATAAATAATGATAATTTTGATGGTAAAGATGAAGAAGTTGAAGAAGAACAAATTTTGAACTGTATTGAAACTGTGGCATCTACTTCAAGTAAATACCTCATTTATTAAGTTTATCTTTGAATTATTTCACATCAGTTTTAATTTCTAAATTTTTTTAACTATTATTTGTTGAAGTTGTTCTAAATATTGCTCTCTTTGWAATGCATACATTTTTAAGGAAATTACTTTGGAATAGCCAATTTTCATTAACTATTTAGTTAACAATTTATTTTAAAATGTTTTTTCTTTTAATTATAGATATTGAGAAAATTGTAAATCCCCCTAAAATTATAACTGTAAAAGATAACAAAACTATTAGTGACTCTCATGTTGTGCTTGGTAAAGTTAATGATGACATTTTAGTTGATCAGTCTTCTGCAGGTAACTAAAAAAAGACAAAATACTTTTTGTGTCTACTTGATTAATATTTTTTTTTTAATTATTACTTAGATTTGTATAGTGGTGTTATGAATTTGTTAAATCTTGAGGAAGATTTTCCAACTGACAAAGCATTATTTCCAGAACTAATTACAAATAAAAATCTTAAGCAATGTATATTACTTTTTGGACCATGTAAGCCAGATATAAATTTTCCAATTAACAGTGATGGAAAACGTTTTTCAACTAGTTACTATTATTTGACGACCAAGTCTGGTACAAAAATACCTCGATTATGGTTATGTTACTCTGTTCGTTTGGATAAATCATATTGTGAAACTTGTTGGCTATTTGCTGACAGAGGTTATAGTAAATTCAAGTCAGATTGGATTGACGGTATTAATGATTGGAACCATTTATCTCAATGTATACAAAGGCATGAATGTTCCATTCAACACTTAGATGCTACTAAACTTCGTTCAATATGTGCMAAAACTCATACTATTGATGCTGAATTAGAAAAACAGTATTCTGATGAAGCGATGAAGTGGAGAAATATATTAAATCGCTTAATTAAAATAATACTTTATTTAACTGCTGGTAATTCAGCTTTAAGAGGCAATGAAGGTAGTAAACAAATCAATAATCCTACTGAAGGCAATTTTTTAAGGACGGTTTATTTACTTGCTGAATTTGATCCCTTTTTAAAAAGTGTGTTAGAAGATAAAAACGGGAAAATCAAATACTTAAGTGCCTCGATTCAAAATGAACTAATAGACATTTTGTCAACAGATTTACGCCGTACAATTTGCAATGAGATAAGGAATAGTATTTTTTTTTCAGTTATATTAGACTCCACCCAAGATATTACCAAAGAAGATCAAGTAAGTTTAGTTATCCGTTATACAAAAGTGAACCATGAACAAAAACAAATAGTAATAAAAGAATCGTTTCTC